CAGAACAACAACCGAAAAAGAAAAAAAACAATGATTATCATTTATTCTCTCTCTCTCTCTCTCTCTCTCTCTCTCTCTCTCTCTCTCTCTAGTTGGATACAAAATTAACATTTTTTCAAAAAGACAAGAAAATATCTTTATCTTGATAAAAATAAAGATGATAAAATCATCAAGAAGTGAGGAGGGGGAGAGGGAAAAAGGCGTTAATTTGATCAACGACGATTATCATTATTGCTGAATATTTCATCAATGATAATAGTAATGCAGGGAAAACAAAAACAAAAATTAATTGAAAAAAAAGAAAATAAATATGATTTGGCGGCTTGTCTTTGGTCTCGTGTGTATGTTTGTATTCTATGAAACCGAACCGAACCGAAAATCAAAAAAAAATCAAATCAAATAATCATCAGACAAGAGCAAACTAAATTATCATCATCGTCGCCGTCGTTTGAAAGACGACGTCGTCGCCGATAATTTTTTTTTTCTTTCTTCTTGTGTGTGTGTGTGTCCGATTTCAACCGATAACCGCGATTGACATGATGAATATCCCGATGATTTTTTGTTTTTGTTTCGATTCAGATAACAAAACAGGTTTTTTTTCAATGATTATTTCGTGATTATTTCTTCAATAACAACAACAACAACAACGATAAAAATTTGAAACAAGAATGATTCAAGAATTCAAGAACAACCAAAACAACGAAGAAAATTTCTTCATTCATCCAACAAACAAACTAAAAATGTCTTAATCGAATAATAAATCTTTTCGTTTGCTTTTTTTTGGGTTAGAAAAGTAATAAATTTACTGACAAATTTTTTTCTGTTTGTTTGACACGACCAGAAATAAAATCCATCCATAGGATATAACACACCAGCAGAATTGAATAACGAAACGAAATGATGAAAAACAAAACTTACCGGACTTGAAACCGGTGGTAGATATTCCGGTCTTAGATATTGATTTGATGATGATGATGTTGTTGTTGTTGATGTTGTTGAGGTGAGCATTGTTGTTTGTTTGTTTGTTGATTCTTAATTTCCGATTGATACGAATTATTTTGTTGTTGTCGTTGTTGATCACTATATTTTTGTTGTTGTTGCTTTTTTTAGCATCACATTAATTTAATGTTGTTAAAACATTTTATCTCGATAAACACAACAACAAAATCACTGAACAAAACGAAAAAAACACCGAGATATTTCAATGTCCACCAACTCTACCATAAGAAACATAAGCACAGAAAAAATCGCAAGAATTTCTTGGCTAGACGACGTTGATGATAACGAAGAAATTTATTTTTTTCTCAAGAATAATTATTATGCCATTTGTAAAAATGATTTTTTAAATCAAAACAAAAAAAAAACCGATTCCGGTGAAAATGGTGAAAAAAAAAGCGAATAACGACGACGACGACGACCAATTCGAATGAAAAGTTTGAATCCAAATAACGGTGTGTAACAACAAAGACAACGATGATGAATCCAACATTCGAATGAATTTCGAATGCGAAAAAGAAAGAAGAAGAAGTGGTAGAAATGGAGGAAGACATGTTCCTCTTTCTCCTTCTTCTTCTTGTTGTTGTCCATTCATGTTGTCTGTTATTGCTATCCGTAATATCAACATTTGTATACAACATAAAATTGAACCACTACCTCAAAATCAACAAAACAAAAACAAAACAATTTTAAACGCCATCTTTTGGAAAAAATTTTGAACTAATTTTATTTTTTATTTTTTCAAAAATTAAAAAAAAAATTTCCATTTTTTTAAATTTGAAAATCATTATGCATGATTCACACACAAAAACACAGAATCTTGTCAATTGGAAAGTGATCAGTTATTGAATCAAGAAACAAGCAGAAATATTCAACATTTCCAAAATGTATGTTTGTGTCAATCAAATTCTCCAAAATGTCAAACACTTCATTTCAAACTAAGATCATCATCATCATTTGTTTGCCACCGCCGTTATATGCCGCACCCTATCAAAACACACATGGATCTGACACTTGATTTTCAGTAAGTAAAAAAACAAAAATTCAATTTTCCAAATGTTTAATGTATTTCTCTCGGTGTTTGTGTATGTCTTGTCATCAACATTTTCCATCAAAAAAAAATCTTGTTAATACAAAGTGTGTGTGTTTGTCATTTTTTTCCAGTCAAGATTCCAGTATTCACTTTCTCTATGTATTCTGTATATGCCATCATATGATTTTTTTTAATGTTTCTGGTTGGTAAACAACATAACAACAATGTTGTTGATGAAAATTAAAACACACACAGGGAGGGAGAGAGAGAGAGAGAGAGAAAAAACATGAAAATTATTATTATTATCGCCGTAGGATATATTGTCAATAAATTTAATGGAGAATAATAAATTCGAATGAACGAACGAATGAACGAAAAAATGACAGTAGATGACATAAATCAAATCAACAAGAGAGCGAGAGAGAGAGAGAGAGAAAGATCCAAATTGATTGACATTAATTACCCAAAACGATTCTTGTTGTTAGTTGTTTGAAAACGACAACGATGATGTTTGCAATGATTGACTGACTGACTGACTGACTGAATCTCTGAATGTATGAATGGATATTTTTAAATACGCGTAAGTGTGTGTGTGGGTTGTCTAAAATTGAACGAAGAAAGAAAATTTTTGACACCTATGATGATGGTGATGGTGGTGGTGGTCAACGCATTTGTCAGTCAATCAAAATCATGTCGTTTTAACGAAAAACAACAACAAAGGTATAATCATATTTCGCATATATGTAATCACAAATCTTTTACCTTTGACCTGATGTGAATGACAGACAGCAAATGTAAAAGGAAAAAAATGATTTAATGATGCCAGTGTTTGCTTGTCATTGTCAAGTGTCAAATGTCAATCAAAGAAAAAAACAATCAAAAAGAAATTCTCTTTCGGAAAATTGATTTTTTGTTGTTGAAATGAAAATGAAAGCCAAACAACAGATCTTTTTTCTGATGTTGAAGGACACCATACTACAGATAGATAGATAAACTTAATGTTTTATGGATGGAATTTAAGGATTTTCCTTTTTCTTAACACACACGCAAACACACAAAGGATCATTGTCTTTTTTTGTTTGTTTGAAATGGATAGCTTTTTTTGTTTGTTGGATCAGTATCAGTCACCACCACCATTATTATTGATCAATGTTGCTCGATATCGATTAGATTGTTAGTTTGAAAATTGTTTTATCCATCCATCGATCAATCAATCAATCAATCAATCGATCACAATCGTAAAATAGATTGAAATGAATTGGGCGTATTGGATTGTTGATACATTGTTGCCTACCTATAGATATTTATTCTTGCTTGCTATTATCATGTTGTTTAAATGTTGAAGTTTTTTGATTTTTGATTTTTCAAAATATCAAAATGATTTTTCTCATTGAAAAATGAATCGTTGTTGTTGATTGTTGATTGAAATAAAAATCAGGGCAATGAAAGCCTGAACAAAGTTAAACGTCAAATTGTTTCACTTTTTTTTCCTACCACTGTTACTGTTTGTTGTTGTTGTTGTGGAAGTTTGATAAGATAATAATGATAATTATGGTGAATGAATTTGATTTCAACAAGCGGATGTGTTTGAAAATTTGATTTCCATTGGAAAAAATCAATCAATCAATCAATCAAAAAAATACCATTTATCAAAACATTTGAAAATATGGAGAAAAACTAACAAGTGAAACACACGGTCATTTCAAATGGATTCAATGAAGAAAAATCATTCCAGAAAACATGAAAATCATTATTCATTTTCATTGGAAAAAAGGGTGAAAAATATCGTTTTTCCTGTGCGTTACAAATGATGATGATAATGAATTTAAACATCAAGGGCTTTTGATGAATATTTTAGAAAAAAAAACGAATTTGATTGATTTTCAAAAAAAAAAGAAAGTCAAAGATAAAATCCAAACAGAAAAAAAACACATTTAATTTCAATGTTAAAGAGTTTATCGCTGTTTTTCTTCTTCTTTCATTCTGGTATATTGTAATTATAAGGTGTTCAAAATCAAGGGTTAATTTATTTTTTTTCAAATGATTTTGTTATAGAATGTCATTTCTATCATCAACATCATCATTTGATTCATGAAAAAATGAATCATTCTGATTGAGGTTTTCTTTTCTTTATCGAAAGAAAAAACTACTTAATCACCATCAAGTTAGGACAGGAGGTAGTTATAATGATGATCATCATCATCATTTAAAGGTGTTTTCGTTCTTTTCTCTGTTGTTGTTGTTGATAATGATTATGGTGATACCTGGCTAAACCAGTCATTCTTTTTCATTTGAAACCTGTCAAGCTTGTCAAGTTTTTTTTTGTAAAATTGAAATGTACCAATTATTCTTCAATGATGATAATAGTTGTTGTTTGGATGTGGAAATGTGTTGATCATTAACAATTTTCTTTAAACTTTGATTGATTGATTGACATTTTTTTTCCATCATTTAGAAAACGAAAAATTTGTTTTCTAAATCATCGATTTCGATGATGACATTTTTGATTGACAGGAGTGTTTCTCTCGTTCTCTCTCTCTCTCTCTCTCTCTCTCTCTCTCTCTCTCTCTCTGTAATTCACTCCTATTCGTTCAAACGCATCATAGATATCAATGAATGCAATGTATTTTTGATTGACAATCGATTGATCGATTCATTGATGATGATAATAACCATCTTATGTTTGGATTTTTTGTTGTTGTTGTTGTTGAATGATTAAATTCAACAACAATAATTATACATTGATTCTTTCTTTGAATTCGACTTATTTTCTATGTTGCAAACGAATCGAAATCCAAATGAAATGTTTCGGCTAATTATTTTTGTTTTTCATTTCATTTCAATTCAATTCAATTTGATTGATTGATTGATTCAAGTTGTTTGTGAAGTGTTTGATGTCTTTGTATATGAATGATGATGATGAACATATGGCGTTAGATTCTCTCTCAACACACACAACATATTGGATTTTGAATTGAATTCTTCGATTGACTGAAGTGTTGAGCTTATAATGCAAAAAAGCAAAAAAGAACTTTCTTTTTTTCCTTCAACAACAACTGATTTAGACTTGATCAACAACAACAACAAGTAAAATCAGTTGTCAAAAACTAAACCCGAAATTCATTCGTTTCAAATCAAATCCACTATATGTGACATATGTATCATACATATACATCCATACTATATATGTGACATATGTCATAAGTTATCTCAATTGAACTGTTGTTGTTGTCGATGATGTCATTGAATTGTCGAAGCAGAAAAAAATGTAATGTATACATATCGAATGAGGAAGAAAATTGCAAATGATGTAATGATTTGTTAGTTATGTAATGTGAATTGTGTGTGACAACAACTTTGTGACGACAACTTTGTGTGACGACAACATTACACATAATAATAAACTTTGATTTATATAAGTGTTGAAAAGAGAGTAAAGGAGAGAGGGTTGATTACCATTATCATCATCATGATGATTACTATTTTCGACAATTTTTGATTTCTCAAAAAACAACAACAAAATAACAAAAATCTTTTTTTTGATGTTATCACATGGATCCTTGTATGCACGTGTGTGTGTGTAAATGACATCCTGTCGTTGTTGTTCCTTTCAAGTAGTAATCTTGATTTGATTCTTCAATATTCGACAACAACAAATTCAAAAAAATGATGGCCATCATTATCATTCATCACATTCATTTGATTCGTGATTCTGATTCGACCTTTTTTTTCTCGTTGTAAAATTGCAAAAATCTATAATCAATGTTTGTTGATCATTCAAATGTCATTCATTTCAATCATCAAAAGTTTTCAAATGATAATAATCAAAGAAAGAATGAAAGAAAATTCTTCAAACAAACATTCAAAAAAGAAAAAGAAAAGATTTTCCATCGTTCTCTCTCTCTGTCATTTCAATATGGTGATGATATATTATGTGATGATGGTCATCATCATTTAGTTATGACATCTTTCAACTTCTTTTTCTTTGATTCGTTTCTTGATATCATCATGTTTTTTTGACGTTTTTTCTTTTTGACAATTTTCTGTTGGAGAAAAAACAAAAA